CATGGGCGTACCGGAAGGAAAAATTTAGGGGGGCGGCAAGAAATTTGCCCGACTTTTCAGGATTTTGCCCGACAAGTACCGAAAAATTTTTTTCCGGAATTTGTTATGGCGCCCTCCCCCCCCCCGTCGCCAAAAAAATTTCGGTCAGTGTACCATTTTAGGGGTCAAAAATTTTTTCCGGACATACCATCATTCTCCGGAACCTACAAAAATTTTGGAAACTTCAACAAATTTTCCGCAAAATTTACAAAATTTGTCCCATTTTTTTTTTTAATTATCCAAAATTGCCCGACTGTTCAGCGAATATTGCCCGACTGCCCAGGAACTGAAGCAATGCCCCCGTCTGGAGTACGCCCATGCGCTCACTGCTCACGACGACACGAAATTTAGAGTTATATAAAGTTGCATGCCATATATGGCATGCAACAAAAACGGCAAACTTCGCAAGGCTATATTATCCGCATTTTACAACATTTCGCAACGAAACTTCGGAATATTACTAATTTTGTGATGTTCTTTCAAGCCGTGATAAAATTTTTGTCTAGACTTGTCTAGATCAAAATTTCACCCAAAAGGGGAAAGGTCTATATTGCCGCTTTCAACCAGAGGTTTATTTTTCCTCTCGCCTTCGCAATGAAAATAATAAAAATAAACCTCTGGAACCAGGGTAGGTCTATAAATGATAAAGATACGAAACGTTTATACATATACCTTTGCGTTTGACCTTCCCTGTAAGCAAGGCCTTGACCAGATGAAGCTGTACATTCATAAGTTATTTCAACATCTTTCCCGTTATAGCCAGGCAATCTCTTGACTTCGTTAAGATAGGCAGGATGTAGTGCAACCAAGCAGAAGAGGTCAGCGTGGTTCCCGATGTTGATGTGCTGCCAGATACGTGACTTGAGACGTTTTAATAATATAAGAAGACAATTAAGGAGTGGCCAGAACTCGCTATCACGTCCTAAAATAACAATGGAAAAATTTTCATCCAGACAGGAAGAACAAAATCTATCATTATACAGTACAGTAGCTAGCTTAAAAGAACATCCTTAAATAAGTAAAATTGCCAAATTTGGTTAAAAAGGTTGCAAAATACGAAAAATACAGGCCAAAAATTGCGGTTGCCATAGAGTATTTTAATAAAACACAAAACAATAGACAGTCCAAAAATTGTAAACATTTTAATTCTTTACATTTCGACTATAATTTTAGTCATCTTCAGAAGAAAGAGTTTTGGTCTTTTTTCTTCTGAAGATGACTTAAATTATTGTCGAAACGTAAAGAATTAAAATGTTTACAATTTTCGGACTGTCTATTGTTTCAGTGTGTTTTACGGAAAATATAGCCCTGTGAAATTAGCAAATTTTGAGTATTTTAGTATTACGCGCGAAAAAATGCACCACGTACTTTCTACCTCTATACCTAGATACCTCAGTCAGGGCTGCAAATAAATATTTGACTTGACAGGACATTTGTCCGATCACTTTTAATTTTGGTCGGACATAACTTGAACTTGGTCGGACAAAAACCAACACCACTAAATTTGGTCAGACATATACAGTATACGTCACAAGATATATATACGTCACGAATAAAGTATGTATAGCCATTCCGATGCAACGTTAAGTTAAATGCTAGAATGCCTCATAAATATTATTTCAAAATGTAAATTGAGTGAATTTGCAATTGGATTTTGTGACAGCAAAAAAATGTATAATGTACAAAAAATGTACTTTTGCTCGGACATTTGCCAAATTTAGTCGGACATTGTCCGATGTCCGACAGTAATTTGCAGCCCTGTCAGTAGCCATTGTCGGATGGCAAGTGAATTTTATTCCGGACAACTAATTTTCATGTCCAACTTGACCTGAGGGCAAGTGGTAAAAAAAAGTACTGTAAAGTTACACCACTGCGGGTGACCCAGAGAAAACCCACAACTTTCGGTAGAGCGTTGACTGATTCTTTTCACATAAGGAACTGGCCATAAAGTGACTGCTAGGGTGGGCTGGAGGTAAATCACAAATTTTACCAATAAGTTTGGTAACCCATCTTAGGATGTAGATAAGGATTTCAAAGCCCATCTAATCATACCAAATTTATTTCATGACCCACCCACCCACCCACCCAATCTAAATTGGGAAAATACAATTTTATAATAAAAAAAAACTTGCAGGTATGAACTTTGTAAATATTATACACCGGCACTGTATTGACATACATAATTCCACCAAGATTGACCAACACATTCATCACCAACTACGATACTGAGCTGCTCTCCAGTTGGTTGTATTTGCTGTGATTCGACAACTTCTTGTTGTTGTATAAAACAAAGTACTGGCTTCAATAGCATCATTTGCATTTGATAATTTGGATAGTTTTGTTTTTCTTTTATTATTAATATCTTTACGTAATATATAATTAACATGGGTTTTTGTTTGGTGGCCTAACCGTGGGCATACCAAAAAATTGGCGGCCCATCGAAACTGCCCAAAGATTTTCCATGCCCCATCCCAAATCACTCCAGCCCACCCTAGCAGTTACTTTATGATCGGTCCCTAAGTGTCTCTAGTGCAATGTGAGCATCGCCACCCACCCACAACTGATATCAGAGGCGAAAGAGTAAAGAACGCTTGAACAGCAGAGTGTTCATCCAGGCTTCGCATGCAAACATACCATCGTTTTGACAATTTTCCTGATCTATTGCCGTAAGAAGCATAGTAACAAATTGATTGTGATTATCGCGACTGAGAAGCTGAAGACGTATCGTTTTTGATTCAAACTTCTTCAAAAGCGTGTACACGCTCGCCCAATACTCCTTGATGTGATTTCGCAGGAAAAGATGCGCTGGCAAGATGTTCGCATCGATATCTTCCAAATTCCTGGATCTCAAAAGGTCAAATTCTGAAACGTTTATGATCCACTTTACAACGTCTCTAAGATCATGATAGTCATCACACGAGATAAGACCAAGTCTCTGCAGGGATTTTTTCGCCCATTTTCGCACCTACAACCAAAAAAACTTATCAAAAGTGCTTTGTTTAAACAAAGAACTACGTAAATGCAGAAGTTAAAAGAGGGGGCGGGTGGGGGGAGCCTTCGTTGTCAGAAACTTCATGTTGATTTGGAGGGCTGGTCTCGAAACCTAATATCTTTTTGGCGTTCCTCTTACGAATTACTTTGTTTTAGCCTAATTTTGTAGTTTACACAGTTAGCCACCTTTTTATATGTATCTGACGTTTGAGAAACTCAGAATAATAATCATACAGCAAAACTGGCTGAACTTGAGACTGACACAATTTTCTCTTTCGCATATTTTTTTCTTTTTCAATCTAAATTTAAGTCTCGATCATTTTAGCGTAATTTTACAGATAAAGCACTAAACATACTTTTCATGTTCGTTTGCCGCTTGAAAAACGTGTCAGAAATGATAAAAACTGAATGCGGTCGTAATCAAGTGGAAAGGTATGTTCGTTAGTTTTGAGCGCATGTTACGTTAGGGGCCGGTCATTATTTATGGGCGCGGGGTGGCACCGAAGAGAAAATGGTTGGTAAACAAAATTTTGAGTAAGTACTGTAAATGGTTGGGTAAATGAAAAACAAAACAACTCCAGGGTTGGGTAATAAAAAAATTATGTTTGCAATGTTACTCTGAGTGTATATCCACACCGGGCGAGCTTGAAAAATATGCCCGGCCACGGTGGGATTCGAACCTACGACCTTTGGAATACTAGCCCAATGCTCTTCCAACTGAGCTACGCTATTTCGGAACAGTATCTAGTTCCTTCAATACCAATGTATTCTAGTAATATGATTTTTTTTTTTTTTTTTTTAAATTAATAAAAAAATATTGTTATTTCCAAGCATGACTCACTGAAATATTGGAGACTAAAAAGCAATGTCAACAGTCATATGTCAATACAATATGTGAATCAATCAGAGTCACTATTTTGATCATTTTCCGATTTGTTGGGAGACAAATGGTGTCTCCAAAGAAAGTACATGTGCAGACAACATGAAACTTTAGACTGGAGAAAATTTCACAACCCGTTATCAAACTCATGTCACAGAAGTGGTAAGGGACTTGTGTGACAACTAAATGGTATCTTTTTTGTAACGTTTTTGACCAGGGGTGGGTATTTCTTTTTTAATTCATATTTGAGGTTGGGTAATTAAATATTTTACTTTTTGATGGTTGGGTCAGCAAAATTTTTGCCACGAAAAACATTTCTCTTGGGTGCCACCCCGACCATAAATAATAACCGGTCCCTAATATACATGCCATTTTTGTAATCGGCTCATCTCCAGTCAAGCTACAGCTACAGTATGGATGGCACATCGTGAAACAGCCGGATGAACATAAGTACAGTACCTGAGAATTGGGATGAATGATCAGTAAGTATACACCAGGAAGCTTGTCGTGCAATACTAGTGGAGAGCCTTCCCGTTCCAGACGTAACAAAGCTTCAGTGGTGAGGTTTGCAACATCTTTGCTCCACAGTAAATATGGATAATTTAGGATTTCTCGCAAAGATATTGACAATCTCTCCAAAAGATCATCCCCTGAGAACGTTTTGTCCTAAAACATTTTCAAAATTATAAAAATTTAGAATTTATGTTTCTAGGGTATACAATAACCACATTCAATCTCAGTCAGCCAGATACTGTGAACTTTGCAATGGCGTTTCCAGCTGAGACGAAATTTTGATCAAAACAAGAAGAACGACATCATTACCATAACTGGAAAGAGCATCTTAAAATGAGTAAAACTGCAAAGTTTGGTTGCGAATTGTTGTAAAATGAGGAAAATATAGCGCTGTGAAGTTCGCAAATTTTGAAAATATATTTGCATTACGCGCGGGAAAAATAACCATTTTTGAGCCGAAAGTGCATGGTCATATTTACCGCGCGTAATACAAATATACAGGGCTACACTTGCTTCATTTCGCAACATTTGGCAACCAATCTTTGCAGTTTTACTCATCCTAAGACGCCCTTTCTACAGTAGTTGTACTGTTGGATTTCCTTCTTGCCTTGATCAAAATTTAGTCTACAGGGTGTATCAAAAAAAGCGCAATCCTCGACTGAAATGTAAATTGCTAAGCAAATAATAGACGAAAACGTTAAAGTTTACATTCATTTTAAAGCGTAGCCATTCAGCTTTCTAACAGTGGGTTGTTTCTTAAATTTGACTCATTGGTTCGCGGGTAATAATACTTTACGTTATTGCGATTGGAGATTAAAAAAATTGAGATGGAATAACAAATCGTTCTCATGAAAATAACTGATTTTTTCATTAAAACAAAAAAATATTGCATTTTATTAAATGGATTGTAACAATAAGTATAATTACGGCTTTTCTTCCACTATTTTTAACTCAGTTTGAAACTTCAAATGCGATATAATTTTGGCTTGGACCATCTAAGCTGACTGACATCAACTTGCTATAATTTCTGTTTACATTACATCGCAATTCGATGACACTCTGGCTCAGACACCAGAATGTTTTGACGATTTTTTGCATTCGTTTAAGATTTATAAACAACCTGGTCTCTTTTAAAATACTTTAAATTTGTTCTTAGGTGGTTTTCCAGATGTAGTGACGACAACATTAAAGTTTAAAGAAGAAATCTAAATCTTTTCCTGTGCAATTATTACTAGCATTGGAGACAAGGATAATAGTTTGTTTGAAAGAGAAAAGAACAGGCTTTGAAGTAAGCCTAAAAGCGTAGAAATAGTATTTCGAAAGTTATTAAGCACAAAAGATGAATTGCGTTTATTTTGATACACCCTGTATAGCTGGAATCACGCATTGTAAAGGACTACAGGTACAGTAAGTACTTAGGTTCGCTCTGTAGTTTGGGCTGTTCCATTTAAAAGACGCACTCTAAAAATACCCCGCAGGCTAAAAATGTCCTGGTTAATCTAAAATTAACATTGTTTAGGGTAACTTAATGTTCGCGATTAAATTTCCTGGTTGTCTAACCACAGTCCTGGCTAAATTAAACCAGGATTCATGGTAAATCTAACCACGCTATATGGTTGAATAACCAGATTATGTTAGGTGGATTCTAAACCAGGAATTCTTGTTTAATTAGCCTTTCCGAAGTTGATGAGAGAACTGGGGACGAGTGCTAAAAAGTGCCAAAAGAAAAAAATGAACCAAATCACTAAAAAGACCACCGCAAAATTAGTAAGTATACAAAGTTTGAAGAAAATCACGATATTTACTATCAAATGTACTGTAATTTTTGTTTTTGGGAGGCGCGTTCCCAAAACAATCTTTCAATCAGTAATTTCACAATTTTCGAAAGCTTATTATTCGAAGGGTATTTACGTACATGTTTTCAAACTTTGTATACCTACTAATTTTGAGGTGGTCTTTTTACTGATTTGGTCCATTTCTTAATTTGGGCACGTTTTAACACTCGTCCCCAGTCCACTCATCAACTTCGGAATGGCTAATACCATTGAATCCAACTATTATCAATGCTATACAGTACCTCTTGCCAATCAAAGAGATCTTCATCTAACTTGAATTCTCTATTTGGATGAAGGGAATTCCTCAAATGTTCACATAGCCTGTTTACTTCCCACGTAAAAAGTTCCTATACAATGGCACAGAATTGAATAAAACTAGACACGTCCACAGAGGTTAATGTCGCTTCCAACAAGGGTCAAAGCTTTAACATGCAAACTACCTCTGTACGGTATATTCAAGATCTTTTCACTAAATTTGAAAACAGTATATAGCTATTCCCTAAGGAGTAATAACGGTAAACTCACTCTGCCCAGACCAAGATTGACTAACTTTCTCAAAAGACGTTTCTCTTATAGAGCGGCACAAGGGTGGAACGAATTATCAAGCAAAATATAACTGACAATTTTATAATCTTTCCATATCTACATTCAAACAGCGGTTATGACAATACCTTTTTCATAAAATCAGTATTAATTATTTGTTAATACGCAATATCATACTAAGTATGCGCGAAAGATCTTGATGACACTTTTGTATATAAAAAAGAGCGTGCGAATTAAACAAGTCACATATTACTAGCAGTGGTGAAGATCCGGGCTTACATATCTAAAGCTTTGCAGTAATAAATTTACGTGCTGTTTCCACAAACAAAACTATTATATATTTTATCGCCATGCAAACATACAAAGAACTTATTAGAATTTGTGGGGTTTTTTTTTAATATTGTACTTAACACGGTCACGGCCCTTTGAAAATGAGGCTGCATGTAAATATTATACTAAAACGCTACCGCGTATAAAGCGTTTGCATTCACTCCCCAGGGACCAACTCAACAAAAGCCATGGCGGCCATGTTGGTGTTCCAAACAAAAGAGTCTAATTAAAATTCTTTTGAATTGGAACACCAACATGGCAACGGTGACGTCATGTGCAAACGCTCTATATAAAAAATTTTAATTAAGATTAATTAAAGATTAATGGTAGAAATAAATAAAAAAACAACTCGCGTTGCCATGGGTGGTCTCGCCACTGCATGGAATAATTGATTGCGAAAAAACACAAAAATAATCGATTACTCAGGAACAGCTCTACAGGCGGTACAGCCAACAGCCTCAAATAATTACTGCCGTAAATGACTCGAGTCAACTCAGTTACACCTTAATCCTTATTCGGATCCGATTCATAAAAAATATTATGCCTTATGGCCAGGAATAACAATGAGGCCTGAAATAGCTTAAAGAAATTCTTTTAGATTCTGATCATTTCATTTCTGACCATTTGCAAGTTACAATAGTTGTACAGTACATGGTTTGTAGCACTGCAGGTATTATGTTTATGTCTGTTGACTTTCTTGTTAATCTCTTCTTTAAATTCTTATATTAGCCATTCCGAAGTTGATAAGAGAACTGGGGACGAGTGGTAAAAAGTGCCCAAATTAAGAAATGAACCAAATAACTAAAAAGACAACCTCAAAATTAGTAATTATACAAAGTTTGAAGACGTTTACATCAATACCCTTCGAATAATAAGCTTTCAAAAATTGTGAAAGTACTGATTAAAAGCACTGAGCTATACTATATTACTGGAGGACCTGCTCGGCAGGAAAGAGTGTCGCCAAAAACATGGCGGCGCTTACGCCATTGCCATGACTACTGGTCCGAAGTCTCCATGGTAATTGCCACTGACCAACCGCGATCCGAAGCATTAAACAAAGTCCTGCACCCCCCTGTTTTTACACAAATATTTCAGACTTTAGAGCTGTTTTCGGTTGTTTTTGAGCTAGAAAATCTTTTCCTCGCACTTTACTTGTTTTACGATGTGGAGGAAAAGTGCCGTTTTGTTCCGTTTGTTGATGCAAGAATTCACTATCAAGAAAGATTAACTATTCTTTCAGGTAAGATTCATGAAACTATTTTTACTTTGTAGAACCTTGCTAGATATAAAATGACTCTCGAAATGAGTCAAATGACTATAATATAACTATATAAGTAAAAAACTCGTGCTACTACACGCGTAAAAATCATCATGTTGATGCAAGTTGTTCAAAACGGGAGCGAACAATGTTGTGCTGCACCCCGTGAACAATATTGTTAACAAGTTGTTGAATCATCAACATTGTTGCAACTTGTTGACAATCATGTTAACAACTTGCAACAGTACTGATGGTTGAACAACTTGTTAACAATATTGTTCACGGGGTGCAGCACAACATTGTTCGCTCCTGTTTTGAACAACGCCGAACAACATGATCAATTTTTACCCGTGTATATATATGCAGCAAATATTTCAGTAGCAGACACATTAAAGAGCCTCTGGGACCGGGGTACGGACACATAAATCCTGTTTATAATCGTTGAAAATTGTGGACATGAAATTATGTTGTTTTGTGTTTTTTATTGCCAGTTTTTAATATAAATTTATAATAATTGTGGTTGTTCACCTGCTCACATGATCGTACAGATTATATATGGTGTGAATCAGGATTAATATATAGATAAGCACAAAGACAGAGAGTGTGAGACAGAGGGAACAAAATACCCAGGACCTGGGAGTGTTCAAAGCAGTGTGCAAAACAGCAAAAGTTGGATAAGCATGATTGCTTGCCTATGTGCTTAATTTATAGAGAAAAGATATGGTATAACTGAAACTTTCTTTTGAGCTAAATTTAACAATCTCTCTCAATAGGGTAACAGCAAGTGATAGTCCAGAAACCGCACAGACTTCATGTCCCGTGAACAAGGCTGCATATTGCATATTCCCCCACAATGAGCGAGTCGCACTGAGCTTGGACAAGCAAGTCCTACTTTTGCCAGGCTTTTTGTAGCAGTGTTTATATATGGGGTTGTAGGGCAGTGGTGGCCACTTATTGTGGGGGGGGGGGGTGATTTAGGTTGCCACCATATGACCGTGCACTTTAGGTTGTTGGATATCATACTAGTTCTTTAAATTTTTTTGCCTTAACCCATGGAGCACCAGTGTGCTCTCCCCTTGACAAGTAAAATTGTCTGGCATTGTCAGACAGATCGAGTAAAATAATCTGGTGTTAGACAGAGTAAGATTAACTAAAGTTGGGCACATTGGGTATGCAGATAGTTTGATTTATATTCCATTGAGTGCCATAAGCACTCTCCCCTTGATGAGTAAAATAGTCATTCCTAACCATGCAGAAGATTTAATCCACTGAGCGGCAGTGCTCTCCCCTAAAGTGCAGTACATTAGGGTGCATTGCCACTTAAAGGGTTAACGTATATGTAATACTTATTTATATTTTTGTTAATTACTAAAGATGTGTAATAACATGATTGTGGTATAATAATGTTATCTTTTTTTGCAGGATTTATCTGTTTAATACAGGTACCAGAAGAGATGGCACAGGATGCCAAAATGGAGAAGAACAAATTGAAGATATGATAATAATTAGTCACTCACCAATTACTGTAGTCAAGTATAATTATGGTGCAACTCTTTTATTGACAATAAAGAGTACAACACACAGTGACATTTAATTTTTTAATTCACACTACATTAAATTTAAATGTACGTCTTGTGTCTAAATGTAGTACATGTACATGTTTGTAAATTGTTTGTACATGTTTGTACATGTACATGTTTGTACAATTGTACAGCAGGGACTGAGAGAGCAGAAAAGAAAGTTAGTTATTATATTGTATTAAAATATATTCAAAGCACCAACAACAACCTTTTATCAGATTTATAACATGAGGCAATACCCAAGTGTTTTAATAGATCTGATGAAACATGTACTGTGAGTGTTTTGGATAACTTCAGAAATGATGTATTTGATAACTTCATAAATAAATTCAAAGATGAAGTTTATGTAAATCTGATTTCTTTCTGTTTTCACCCTCATCATGATTTTTGAAATTTGTAAATGTGTCTTCCTTCAATGTCAGGT